TGTTGAGTTGTATATTTGTGTTGTGCTGCAAGTTGACATGTTGAGTTGTACAATTGAGTTGTGTTGAAAGTTGATGTTGAGTTGTACAGTTGTGTTGTGTTGCAAGTTGATATGTTGAGTAGCAAATGATGTGTTGTGTTGAATGTTGATATGAGTTGTTGTAGGCCATAATGTGAAATTACTCCTAGTAGTGGGAAACTAGGTATGACTCGAGAAACGAGTGGATTGTTGAAGGGTATTAGATAAGCATAATTAGTCGATTCATTTTGGTGGCAAGGCATGAGGCTATAGGACAAGGTAGTGGATAAGAGTTTGACTGGGGTATAAATGAAGTGTTAAGACTTGAAGACTGAGTATGAGTACATAGTGAACTTACACTTAGGCGCCTAATCCATGGAGAGGGTTACAAAAGTAAAACTAATATAGTGACAAATGTCCTGAGTAGGATGAGCATTCATCTATCATTTTTGATGATATAAGGGTTGGATTTGATTGAGGATGTTAAAGACTTAATCGTAATATGTGAGCTCACCCTTAGGAACATTGAATTGAATATGTTGAAAGGACTAATAGATTAATGGATGAGATTAGAGGACCCAGGAGTTAGATCCTTTCTTAGTGACCCAAGTGAAAAAGATTGGTAGGGATATAAATAGCCCTTCACGAGTGGAAGTTAATGGTGTTTTGGGGTTCAAAGATAGAATCTATGTGCCTAGTAAACTCGAATTAAGGAAGATGATCTTAGAGAAAGGACATAAGAGTACTCTTAGCATTCATTTAGGAGTTACTAAAATGTATCAGAGTGGCATAGCAGAAGCGTGGTGGTCTAAGGTGAAAAGAGAAATAGAGGAGATGGTTAGAGTTCCTTAAGGATTATGACTTCCAATTGAATTATCACCCCTGTAAGGCTAATGTTGTAGCTGACGCTTAAAGTAGAAAATCTTTGAGAATGTCTTCTTTGATGATTAGGGAATTTCATATGATTGAGGAGTTTAGGGATATGAGCTTAGGGTGTAAATTGACCTCTAAGAGTATTAAGTTGGGAGCTTTGAGAGTAACTAATAGCTTGATAGATGAGATTAGAGAAGGTCAGAAGGTAGATCATTTCTTATTGAGTCAAGTAGAGAAGTTGAATCAAGGTGTGGAGAGTGAATTTAGATTTGGAGTGGATGGAGTGTTGAGATTTAAGGATAGGTTGTGCATTCCTAGTGTGCCAGAGCTTAAGAGAGCAATCCTAGAAGAAGGTCAGAGGAGTAGCCTTAGTATCCATCCAGGAGCCACTAAGATGTACCAAGACCTTAAAAAGGTGTTTTGGTGGCCTAAGATGAAGAGGGAAGTGGAGGAATTTGTGTATGCCTACTTAGTATGTCAGAAAGCTAATGTAGAACACCAAAACCTTCAGGTCTAATGCAACCTTTAGACGTCCTAATTTGGAAGTAAGATTCTGTATCTATGAACTTAGTTGTACTTATATCTAATATACTTAAGAAATTTGATCTTATTTGGTTAATGGATAGGCTCACCAAGTTTGCTCACCTTGTACTTATTAACATTAGACATTCCTAGAAGAGATTGATAGAGTGGTACATTAATAAGGCAGTGATGTTACATGGGAAATAGAAAGCAAGATGCGAGGAGCTTACCTATTTCTATTTTCAAGAAAATTTCGAGGACGAAATTTCTAAAAGGAGGGGACAATTGTAACATCCCAAATTTTATACAATAGTTAATTATTATTTTTATATTTATGAAAATTATTTTCTTATAGTTATTAATTAATAAAAAGGGTTTTTTTTAGAACATTTTAGAGATTTTAAGAATTGATTATTACTTATTTCTAATATTTATAGAGATTATTAAAGGGGTTTATAATTAAATAATAAATATTATTTTGGTGATTTGGAGGCCCATAACGGGCCGTTCCAAATGGTGGAACGAGTCGTTCCAAATTAGTAAAGAGTCCAATTTTGGTTATTCTAGAACGGATCGTTCGCAAAGTGAAACGAGTCGTTCCAATATTCTAAAAATGCCTAAAAACCTTAGTTGAAAATGGGTCGTTCCAATTATGGTCAATGTGTGTTAAAATAAATCCCAGAACGGGCCGTTCTGATTGTAAAATTTGCATATAATAGATGGTCCAAAACGGGCCGTTCTGGCCACCCTTGAATGCCTATAAATAGGAGGGAGGGGCTGTGAAAAAATTATAACTGAATAACGTGAAAACTTAGAGAGAAAAAGAGAAAGAGAGAGAGAGAGAAAGAAAGAAAGAGAGAGAGAGAGAGAAAGAAAGAAAGAGGGAATCTACATGAGAAGATTAGCAAGGTTCTGCTCTAGTTTCAGCTCCTGCTTATCGAGGTAAGAGGGGAGTGAAAAACCTCGCTCGAAAGTGTGGGAATAATTGTTGGGTAGTCAGGATTGATCCCCAATCCCTTGCTTGATGCATGTTTCTAGGAACATGCAAAGCATGAATGTTTTTTATTTTACTTTCTGATTACTCTTCTATGTTCCTTGTTGGAAGTGATGAATGAATATGTAATTAATTTTGAAAATAAATAAGTTTTAATATAAATAAGAATGTTCTCTAAAGATTCCTGTGCGTACCTTATGAGGAATAATTATGACATGACTATGTGAAATATGAAGAAATGACATGAGACATGAGAATGAACTATTGAGATAAGCTATGACTATGAGAATATGAAAAATGATGACATGAGACAGTAAATAAAATTTCGTGATAAGTGAAATGTTGAGTCAATGAAATAGTGAATGTTTGACATGCATCATATACATATATAACTGCAGGTGTGCCGCTTAGGCCGCATACTAGTGATGAAATGATGTATTCCAGGTGTATCTTCACCAGTGATAAAATAATTTATTCCAGGTGTGTCGCTTAGGCCGCATACCAGTGATGTAACAAGCTAATTAACAAGGTGTACCTTAGGGTCACCAGTGATGTAACAAGCTAACAAGGTGTGCCTTAAGATCACTAGTGATGTAACAAGCTATGTGATGAAATGACTTATTCTAGGTGTGTGCCGCTTAGGCTACATACCAGTGATGTAATTATATATTTTAGGTGTGTGAGACCCGTGAACCCCTTACTCATTTTCTTCTTCTCAACTCACTCTCACTCTCACCCTCTCCTTTTTCTTGTTGCTGATTTTCTTCTTTGGGGTGACCTTGGACTGAAGGTGTTGACCAAGCTTAGGCAGAGCTAGCTGAAGATTGTCTCTCTTCTCCGTTCGTTTTCAAGTTTCCTCTTCTTCTCCGATCTCCGTGGTCCCGAAACTCGGATTTTCGCATCAAGGTAAAAGAAGCTAGTCCTTTGATTTGTTTGGCTGAAAACGAGTTCTAAGAACTCTTTTGTGGTATAATGTTTGCTACATTTGAGCTGAAAACTGCTGAAATTGATGAATTGGGGTTCTACGGGTTTTCGAGGTCCTTGTGGAAATTTTGAGTAAATCTTGATTTGTGTTTGCATGTCGAAAATGAGACGTTTTTGTTGATACGTGGCGAGAATGGGAACTTTTGGCTGGGTTGCATGTTGATTTTCGCAGGTTTTGATGGAATTTTCGAAGTAGGTGAGGGTTCTTGTTTGAATTCGCGCTGAGCGCAGTTCTTCGCGCTGAGCGCGACTTGAAATGGGGACTCACTGGGTGAATCGCGTTGAGCGCGGGGAGAACCGTGCTGGGCGCAACAGACCTCTGTAGGTCTCTGGTTGAGACGCGCTGAGCGCGCACTTGAACGCGCTGAGCGCGCATTTGAAGTTCCGAAATTGACTTCATAGTCTTCATGAAAGTCGTAGCCTTGGATGTTAGCTTTCAAATGGCACTGGAATCACTCAAAAAGGAGTTTTAGAACTCTAGATATGGCCGTTTTAGTGAAGAGGGGTCAGGCTGCCAGCTTTACCTATAGCTGTTGCGGTTTTTAGAATATTTAACAAGGTAGATGAATGAATTAAGACTTGGTGTATTCATGAGAGTTGTAGGAAATTTGATTATCTTTCATATGAGATAAGGATGAGCATGGTAGGAGTAGTATAACTCATGATGTGTTATTTTCTGTGAAGGTTGCCATTTTCCATTTAGTGATTTGGTTAAGTTTAAAGTTGTTTTAGGTGCTTAGGTTGATTGGTGTTGTTTGGGTGGGTAATTTGACAAGATAGATGAGTTGTAAATAAGAGGATTGGGTCGTAGTATGTGTTGAACATGTCGTACGTTGTGAAATTGTTGATCATGCTATTTTATGCTGTTGATGATGAAATGCTACGCTGTAATGGATACATATGTATATGTTGATATTGGTGTGCTGCGCTGAGCGCGGCCCTTGTCGCGCTGGGCGTGAGACTCCTTGGGAGTCTCTGCCCTGTGGGCGTTGGGCGCAATTTGAATTGCGCTGGGCGCGAGACCTAGGGGAAGTCTCTGCCTTCCCCGCACTAGGCGCGGGTATGAGCATGCTGGGCGCGCGAGACTCCTGGGAGTCTCTGCCTGGCATGCGCTGGGCGCGTGTGAGCCTTGGGCTCTCTGGCTGAGCCCCGCCAGGCGCAGGCATACCTGCACTAGGCGCACTAGCCCCTGGTGCTCTCTGGTTGTACCGCGCTGGGCGCGACCATGAGTGCGCCGGGCGCGGAGATGAGAAATTTATATATGTTCGTTAATGTTGTTTTATGTTTAGTTGAGTTGTAGACGAATATAATGTGATGACTAATGGATGATGTTGGTTGATTGATGTTGAGTTGTATATTTGTGTTGTGCTGCAAGTTGACATGTTGAGTTGTACAATTGAGTTGTGTTGAAAGTTGATGTTGAGTTGTACAGTTGTGTTGTGTTGCAAGTTGATATGTTGAGTAGCAAATGATGTGTTGTGTTGAATGTTGATATGAGTTGTTGTAGGCCATAATGGCTGAGTTGTTGTAGGCCATAATGGTTGAGTTGCTGTAGGCCATAATGACTGAGTTGTTGTAGGCCAAAATGGCTGAGTTGCTGTAGGCCATAATGGCTGAGTTGTTGTAGGCCATAATGGCTGAGTTGCTGTAGGAGATCTCCGAGTTGATATGCGTGACGACGCATTGTGTGCTGATTGCTGATTATGCTGTAAGATCGATGAGTTGTATGCTGAAGATGTGTGCTGTTATGGCTAAATAATGTGGTACTTTAAATGAATTTTGTTAAGTTGATTGATGTGTTGAAGTGCTGTGCTGTGCTGTGCTGGGTTGTGCTGAGTTGGGGGATATTATAGCCGCTAAGTCGGTGCTGTTGTTAGCCACATATGTGGTGCTGATTCTAACCGCTAAGGCAGTGCTGATATTGCCGCATTGCGGTGCTGATATTGTTGAGTGGTATAAGCTGTATAAGTGTGCTGATAATTGTATCTGTTGTTTATTTATATTGATATATATATATTTGTATGTTGAATTTTAATTACACTAGCTTACCCTTTTGTTGTCTCCATGATGTTGGACTGCGATGATCATACTATGTATGGGAGCAGAGCAGGGATAGGTGGGCGTCTAAGGATGAGTCTTCGGCGGACCAGTAGAGCTGATCGTTTTTGTGACTATTTTGTTATGTAGCTACTTGGGATAGTAGCATTGATTGGACTTTGTGTTGTACACTCTAACTCTAGTCGGATAGAGACTTTGTATATATTTATATTCTAGATCCTATATTTATATACTTGTCCTTTCTGTCTGGCGTTTCCGGTGTACAGTGGTGTGTGTGTAGTGACCAGCCGGGTCGTTACACTTTAGTGGTATCAGAGCAGTTCGAGTCTAGTGGACACTCTTTGGGGGTGGTTCCTTTAGGCTTTTGTTGTGCTGAACTCTGTGTTGTGCTGTCTTGTTGTGTTGTTTGTTGTATTGGTTGTTGTGGTGTTTTGTTGTGCTGGTGATGGTTGATTGGTTTAGTTATTGTATACTGAAGATGTTGTTACTTCGGTAGACAATGACTAGAACCAATTAGTAGGTAGCCTGTGCCATGGAGATGATGGCTATGGCTATATAGCAGCAAAATGCCTATTTTTCTAGGATGGACGCTGATAGAGCTACAGCTGGTGCAGCAAGGCCCTTGGGGTCGTAGGAGAGCCGGGATCTAGCCGAGTTCCAGAAATGTCGTCCTCCACAGTTCAAAGGAGATGCAGACCCAGAGGTAGTTGACCACTGGATCTGTGAACTAGAAAAGATCTTCGCTGTGTTGGGATCTTCTCAGGGGAGGAGGCTGGCATATGTTGTCTATATGCTGGTTGGGGAGGCTGAGCATTGGTGAAGAGATACTCACCATATGCTTACTGCTAGAGGAGGAGCTGTTGATTCAGCTGGTCAAGCTGAATCATTGTTGAGGGATGGAGTAGAGTGCTGTCTTATGCTTGCTGCTATGAGTGTGGAGACCGAGAGGGTCATTGCTGAGATTGATGTGGCGAGGGATTTTGCTGAGGTGTTCCTTGATGAGGTGCCCGAGTTGCCTCTTGTGAGTGAGATGGAGTTTATCATTGACTTGGTTCCAGGTGCAGGGCCAGTGTCGGTGGTTTCCTAATGGATGGCTCCTGCTGAGTTGGTTGGACTGAAAGGTCAGTTGGAGGACCTGTTGGAGAAAACAGTTGGTGCGGCCGAGTGTATCGCCGTGGGGTGCTCCTGTGTTGTTGGTGAAGAAGAAAGATGTGGGCAGTCGTCTTTGTGTGGATTACCGGCAGTTGAATAAGTTGACCATCAAGAACAAATATCCTCTCCCCCGGATAGATGACTTGATGGATCAGCTGAGATGAGCATCAGTGTTTTCTAAGATCGATTTGAGGTCGGGGTATCACCAGATTAGGGTGAAGGAGGATGACATACCGAAGACTGCTTTCAAGACTAGGTATGGTCACTATGAGTATGTTGTGATGTCGTTTGGTGTGACCAACGCCCCTGTAGTGTTCATGGATTAGATGAACAGGATCTTCCAGCTGTTCTTGGATAAATTTGTGGTGGTGTTTTATTGATGACATCTTGATTTATTCAAGGACCCTGGAGGAGAATGGAGAGCACTTGCAGTTGGTGCTGGAGATTTTGAAGGCGAAGCAGCTGTATGCTAAGCTTTCAAAATGTGAGTTCTAGTTGGAAGAGGTAAAGTTCTTGGGACATGTAGTCTCAGCTGAGGGGATTGCTGTTGATCTGGCTAAAGTGGAGTCGGTGTTGCAGTGGGAGTGTCCCATAACTATCACGGATGTTCGGAGTTTCGTTTGTTTAGTGGGTTACTATAGGAGGTTCATTGAGGGATTCTCCAAGATAGTAGCGCCTCTAATCCAGCTGATGAGAAAGGAGCAACCGTTCATTTGGATCAATGCTTGTGAGCGGAGCTTTGATGAGCCGAAGAGGAGGTTGACTACTTTCTTGTGCTGGTATTGCCAGATTTTGGTGATCCTTATTATGTGTATTGTGATGTTTCTCACCAGGGTCTGGGGTGCGTGCTGATGCAAAACATGAAAGTAGTGGCATATGCTTCAAGGCAATTGAAGAATCATGAGAGGAATTATCCCACTCATGACTTGGAGTTAGCAGTTGTTGTGTTTGCCTTGGAGATATGAAGACATTAGTTGTATGGTGCTTGGTTCAGCGTCTTCAGTGATCACAAGAATTTGCAGTACTTGATTGATCAGAAGAAGCTGAACATGAGGTAGAGGCGGTGGATGGAGTTTCTGAAGGATTATGACTTCTAGTTGATGTATCATCCTGGTAAGGCCAATGTTGTGGCGGATGTGCTGAGTAGGAAATTCATCCACATGTCTGGTATGATAGTGAAAGAGCTGGAGCTGGTGGAGAAGTTAAGAGATTTGAATCTCTATGCGGAGTTAGCTCAGGATCACATTAGTTGTGGGATGATTACCATAACTAGTGAGTTCTTGAGGCAGGTTAGACAGAGATAGTTGCAAGATGTCGAGTTGGTGAAACTTCTTGGGTTGCTGAATACCGAGAAGGCTGTTGGTTTTGAGCTGGGCGGAGATGGAATCTTGAGGTGCAAGGGCAGGATTAACCTACCTCATGATGCTGAGCTGAAGAAAGCTGTGTTGGAGGATTTGCTAAGGGCTGGTGTGTTGGACCACTTGGGAAGCTGGGGAGGAGATCCTATCGCTGGTTGAGTTCACGTATAATAATAGCTTTCATGCTAGTACGGGGATGGCACTGTTTGAAGCCTTGTATGGCAGAAGATGTAGGACTCCT